TTCTTCTTTCATGAAGCTCTTACTGATATACAGTTCCTTAGCTTTTAGCCTTTTTGTGGGTAATAAGGAATGGAATACAATAACAGAGTTGGAAGGGACCTCAGAGGTCTTCTAATCCAACCCCCTCCTCAGGAAATAAAATTAGTTCACATTTTAATCATAGCTTCTCCAATTTTACAATTTTAAATCATTCCACGAGCTGAAATGAAGTCATTTCTCTGATAGCAATACAGCTATTTTTTTTTTAAAAAAATAGCTGTATTGCTATCAGAGAAATGACTTAATTTCAGCTCATGGAATGATTTAAAATTGTAAAATTGGAGAAGCGTTGATTAAAATGTGAACTAATTTTATTTCCTGAGCAGGGGGTTGGATTAGAAGACCTCCGAGGTCCCTTCCAACTCTGTTATTGTATTCCATTCCTTATTACCCACAAAAAGGCTAAAAGCTAAGGAACTGTATATCAGTAAGAGCTTCATGAAAGAAGAACTTTTAAAAAAATAAAATAAAAGCCAATTTAGTATAGTGGTTAAGACATCAGACTAGAAACCAGCAGACTGTGAAGTTCTGCCTTGGATTTCAACTGTGTGACCTTGGACTAGTGGTGGGTTACAACCAGTACACCCCAGTACAGGTGTACCGGTGTCTGCCGGGAGCACCGGGTACTGTTGTGGTACCGTGCTCTGGAGGCCCCATCCACCTGCCATTGCTCCCTACTGGTATTTGAGCTCTTTGAAGTTTTGTGCACATGCACGGAGCGTACAGCACCTGCTTGACACTCCGCCGAGCAGTTGGAGCATTGCAGAGGCGTCATGGAGCATCACAGGGGTAAGTATGCGAGTGCACGTGCTGTGCGCATTTGTGTCTTGGACACCCAGCCCCGTTGCACCGTACTGGTTGCAACAGGATTGGGAACCCACCACCACAATTGAGCAGAAAAAGAAGAAAAGAAGAAGCAATAAAATGGAGGCTGTTCTCAAGAGTTCTTCACATTTTCTTAGATGGAGACTAGGACTTTTTTTCAGATTCCTTGGCATAAAGCTTTATGAATAAAGATTTTTTTTGAAAATATTTGATTCAAGGAAAAGGGCAAAATGCCAGCCACCAACCTCATTCCCATACATACTTTTGAAACCTTCAGATTGCATTCTCCAGTGATTCCAGATAAGTCACTACTATCGTTAAAGACAGCCGTCACTCCCATTCTTTGTAACAAGTATTTGACGTCGTAAGATGCCGAAATGTTAAATTTAGGAAAGTGCAGATCTATATTTCTGGTTAACCAAAACAGACAAAACAATCAAAATATTATATTTTCAGTTTTGTGACCATAGTTCCATTACACTATATTGCATCCAAAGTTTAAAAGCAGTAGAGATGGATGGATGGATGGATGGATATATGTATGTATGTATATATATATACATATGTATGTGTATGTGTATATATATATATATATATATATATATATATATATATA